TTCCTCCCCTTGCAGCAGGCTGCCGGGGGGGTTTTTGGGGGTTTGGGTTGGGGTTTTGTTTTGTTTTCGTTTTTTCTTTCTTGGTTGTTGGTTTTTTTTTTTTTTTTCTTTTGGAAACACAGCTCAGCCTGTGCCTTCCCCCAGCTGCGCGCTCCAGTGACCCTTACATTGTCGCCGGCGTTCAGTGAGACAAAAACCTCATCGGGGAGCTGGGGAAGGCACGACGCCAACAGGTGACACCTCCCAGCCGCGGATTTAAATCAGCCTTCAAAGGGCCCCGCTCTAAAGGCGCAGCCAGCTCCTCGCCAGCGACAATACGCCGCTCCAGGGGCAAGTCCCAACTGGCACATGTTTTTCTTTCTTCCTCCTATGCATGGGAACACCTTTATTCGCCTGCCCTGGCACTTCCCTCTGGCGCGGTTTATATCCTGTGAGAAGTGCCAGGGTTGGAAAGCACCCGGTGAGCTGGGAGGGTTGGTCAGGGCTGGACTTTGCAGCCTCCTGCTTCCGAGGCAGCAATGCAAACCCGGCAGGGACAGCACACGGCGAGGTCCCCGGTCTCTCCAAGAGAGGTCTGGGCACCAGGACAGTCGGGTGTCTCACGGTTAGCATGAGACGTGCCCGCTCTTAATGTGTGCCCAGTGCAATACCACCCTGTTCCGACCCCAGCCAGGAGCCAAGCAGCAGCAAGGCGCCACGGCTTCCCTCCCCACCATGCCTTACTGGGCCTGCCGTGACCCAGCCCTGTCCTCATGTCCCCCACATCCCTGACCTCATGTCCCCAACTGCCCTGGGCAGTTTGCTCTTGCCACAGGGGTCTTGCACCTGCACGTGGCTGCTGGGACCCCCTGAAAGTGCAGGCTCATGAGTTTGGAAATGACTTAACATGCAGAAATGTCACACCACAGGGAGGGGGAGGAAAAAAGGGGGGTGGGGTGGGTAGTGGAATTCAAGGGTTGAAAAGGCAGGATATGAAACTTCTCTGTGGCTCAGAGGCTGGGGCAGGTG